ACTCCCGCGATTAACGAGGGCCCGCTGTATTACAATAACTAACTAACCAGTCCTCCTTTTAAGCTAACACAATGTGACCAAGTTAAGCTAATGATCAGGTGAAGAAAACATGTTTTGTAGGCCTATTTTTAAAAAGGTAACACACCGGTAAGATGCTGGACATTATATTTATCAACTGTTATATCACTGTATCAGTTTCCCCAAGGGGTCCGGCCCCCAAGTTTGGGAACCACTGCCATAACCTATATCCGTATTAAAATGTTAGCTACAAAAGCAGAACTGTGTAATGTTAATGTTTGTGTGTATCGGCTCCAGAAACTGAAAAGACAGACGTGGACAGTAGCACCGAGTATAAGGGATGTTGAGCCCAGTGACCTCTCATTTGTCTGCAGCTGTCATTAGAAGGCTGTGACTGGACTGGACAGACAATGTGTTAAAAGGAAGGAATGATCCGGTTACGTTTTACATTTCCAGACCAAGTGCGCACAGTCACTGCCACTGTTGCATTAACTAGGATTTTACACATTATCTGATAAATCAAGTGAAAACGGGACAGGACTTGGTGTCTTTCAGCTTAATGGCCCTCCTCCATCACACTCTGCTGCCTACGGTGCTTCTGGTATTATACCAGCATCTCAACACTGTGCTGTCAAAGTCTGGTCTATACACTAACCTCGACATAGCTTTAAACAATTATTTTAAGAGTGAAATTATCAAAATAGTTGCTGATTAATCTCTGTTTTGCAATCACTGCAGCTCTACTCTGTATTGACAGATGTTTAATATCAGGATAAGGGACAAAAAGCTAGAATGAAATCCTGAGACTCTACCCAAAATTATTCTTAAAAATGTGTTTATGCACAAATTATTCTGCCTGTTAAATGCAACTGATAGCACATACTACTATGTGCAATTTCACTGATTTTTATTTACATTTAGTGAATACTATCTGGAAGTCAGGTCATACATGTAATGGTGTTTTTCTGCAGACACTCAACAGCTGGATGATGGAGCTTGTGTTTAAACAGTGTTTAAACAAGCCCAGCCCCCATCACTTAGGGAGACCCACTTCAAATAAATCTCACTGTAGGATGTTTCAAACTACAAAGATTCACCGCTCCACCTCATCTCAAACTGTCGAATGACACTACATTATGAAGTTTAACACAGACTCGCCGCTGGACCAAGAGAAATAAGGAATGTGTAGCATGTGTATGTTGTTTCTTTGCCAAAGTAAAACCAAGAACATAACTGCATATGAGGGAACACATAAACCCAGTGCAAACTGCTTAATTCCCTGAAAGCCTTCATATCTCCAGCTACATCAAAGAATGTAGACCAAGTCCTTTCTTAGATTGCTATCAGTTGGTGTGTTACCATGAAATGACGGGAGCCTTACAAAGCCACCATAATCCCCCTGTCCTGGACTAATCTGATGCCCTGGACCTCTAAACAAACACTGTTAAATTATTTCCTTCCACACTGTTTCTTTGATATCCACCCTGATGTGGAACAAATTTTAATATGGTGTAAGTCTGGACAAAATTATCACAAAATATAACAAAACCTACTGGTGTTTACACATCCTTGAACAGAGCACAAGTCACAAGTCATCACATACATTAGTCACTGCTACTGTTAGCTGTTTCAGTGCTGATCAAAAACATCACATTGTGTTTATCACATAATTCAAACTGTTGATTAAGGACATGGGAACTGCCTCTCACCTTACGTCCTCTTTCAAGTACTGGGCAAATTTACACATCTTTGACAACTATAATATGTGATGTTATTGTGTGGGGCATAGAGTTTTAAATTTCACTTCCACTTGATTTACTTCCAATTGAAGGCTCTGCCAGATTTTATAAAGTGCATATGAAATGCCAGAACAAGGGTTCTACGCCTTTACAATGATTAGATCAAATTACTACTAAACAAAGCCAATCACTTGGAGAAGAACCGCCTTTGAAAAGGCAGCCAACTGGAAAGGAAGCACCTTTCTGTCACAGAAAAGGCTGCACTTTCTTACAAAAGACAGAAGAACAAACGTGTGCCCTGAATATGTACTTCATTTATTACCACTACCACCAGTGCACAGACATCACACAGTTTCAATTTCTGGGCAAATCCTTGTCAACATGATCTCCTCTGGGCTTGATACTGTTATTGCTATCTTTAGTATTGATTTTGGTATGCTAAGTACAGAGAACAGGTAATAAGCTTCAAGGTAAAACAACCTTAAAATGTATAAAAATCAATACAAAAAGTCAATAATGAATCAATCCTGACCAAACACTCTGAAGTGAAAGCTTTTAATCATTTATGTGTAATGGCCATAATGTGGATCTTCTCACTGCTCCCCGGACTGAAACTGCCTTTTCTGGCTAGATGAGTAAAATGGTGAAGTGCTCCAAAATAAAGAAACTGACATGGACGATACTTTATTGGTGTTGAACAGCCCAACTGTTAAGTTTGTTTGGCTGTGTGTGCACTTGTTTTGTCTACTGTGGTGACTTCATTACCAATTACAGAGTGCAGCTACAATGGCTGCATACCAAGCCTTCATATTGAGCAACCTGGTTGCTGACAAAACCACAGGTTTGCTGCTAACGACTAGAGTACTAGAGTTCAAATATACTGCACATTACCAAATGCTGGATAAATGCATGGTGCTGATCAGCCATAGTTATTGCACGAATGGAACAAAGTGGATTAACAGTACAGTTGGTTGTGCTACTACCATTCTATCTAAATAGGATTCCAAACTCTTTTATCAGTGTCCCCAGCTCAGACTTTTTTTTGCAGCACCCAGACATCAGAGATGCCAAAATACAAGGTGATCAAACTGAAATTTTAAAATAACAGTAGCACTAGCCAGGAATGCTTCAGGCGCTTTAGGAACAACATCTCACTGCCAGTTTTCTTTCTCTCATTTAACTAAATAGCTAACAGTGACAATAACTAACTAAACACTTCTTCATCCAACCAAATGTAATAAACCACCAATTCTAACTGAATAGTTTGCACCGATGAACAAGTCTTTTGGCAGATCCCACCTCTGTTTATGAACAAAATTAGGCAATCCTTGGGTGGGTAGTAGCAGAGTAGGTTTTTAGGGCTCATACTGATGATTTGGAGGTTTTAAAAAAAATATTGTAACAAGATACTGTAATTGCATTTTTTTTCCATTTAGACATATAGTAGATTAAACTTAGATTTGCTTTGTTTAAAGAACTGCATCCAAGACTAAGCAAAACTTCTACAGTGTAAATATAGACTGGTCAAGGTTCTGTGATGTAGAAATGATTTAAAGTGACAGTTTCTGAATTACAGACCTAGTTTGGCATTTCTGTACAGCAATTACTTTGTAGTTATCAGGTGGAATATAAATCAAAACAGATATATCTGCAATAAGGTAAAACTAACAAGTGTTTTGGCCAGGCGTGTACTAGCTGTAGCACACCAAGTAAAACTGAACTTTGTGTTTTTATGGACACTTGACATTCTGTCAAATATGTCCTTGTGAGGTATATATTGATCCATGTGGTCACAAAAGATGGAGGACCTTAAGAGTTGCATTGTAAGCACTAAGCAGTTGCACTAATAAAAACAGAAGCACACAACACAAATGATATGAAAGGCCAGTCATATCTGATAACTACTGGCAGTGGTGTGCTTCATTGTGGAAAACCTACTAACAGCTTTATCTTGCAAGCATGGTTGCACAATAGCAATTAAAACCAAACCTCATACTTCCCCCCATACACAAACCCAAACCCATAATTTTGCCTAAACTCAACTTTAGATGAATACGTCTCCATTTAAAGGCAACCTAAATGGCTTGGATAGTTATTTTTATGTTTTTATTTTAATGTTTTAAAGGAACTTCTTTATGTTTTGATGCCATATATAGTGACAAATTCTGAAATTCTGCAAGCTGGACCCATGTTAACAAATGTAAACTTGTAACCTGACATCTTGACTAATTGTCAACCATGTTAACATACAGTAGAGTATTGGACTCCAGGATACTTGGCTAGTATTTAAAATGCGGTACTGTCCGTCCTTATGGCGCAGGACAGAGTTAGCTCATTGTGGACTTGTGAAAAATTAATTTGTGCTTTAATGACTCACCTAACTGAGATGGGGCAGCCCCAACAACATGAGCCAACAAAAACAATCACTAATCTGGATAAAAAATGTTTTTCCATGTCAAAAGTCCCAACTAGAGGTTTATTAGACCACACACACAACATTTCATAAGCTATTGTCCCCTTGGGTTCAGTTGGAGAAGACTAGCTTGTTATAAAAGTGTAACACGTTGGGGTCACACTGTTCTTACAGTGACATCAGTAGTGGAAGTGAAACATAAGATTCATATTCATAGTCAGCCTCACACATTTTCTCACAATCTACTGAAACCCTGAAAGTTTTTGAGATTCTCAACAGCCTCCTTCACGGACACCCACGGGTCCACGGTACCTACCTTGAGAAACACTGTAGGCACTACACTGGTGGAATCTGCAGAGTTAACTCTCCCACTAATGGGTTCTACAACATTTTCTTTCAGCTTTACTGTAAAACTGTTAGTCTAGACGGGCAACAATGAACAGTAGGTTGTATCCTCGAGGTGAATGCTGACTGTTAGTATCCATGTACCAAAGTTAATCTCTAATTTATCAGCTCAACGTTAGACTGGATGAGAGCAGGTTAAGTTACAATTTCACATGTTTACACGTAAGTTGAACTCCAAGAAGCTAACAGAGTTAACTCATCTCGGTGTAGTGAGCTAATGTGACTAGTAGGCTATCTGGCAGAGTGAAACAATGAGCTCAGAGTGCAATCAGCCTTGGCTAGCTTGCTTGCTGCTGCACGCTGTGTTGGTGTAAAGCTAACTCATAGCCAGACTCGCCTTTCACGTAAGGCTAACGTTAAATGGCTAACGAGTCGATGCACTTATCCACAATAAGAGCAAAGGAGAAAATGTACTACTAACTTACCGACTTAGCTAGCCAATCCTATTCCAAACCCTGGTCTGCCCATGGTGATGCGCACTCCATAAAAAGAGCAAATCAGAGTAACAGGCTTGAATTACAATAAAACCTCTAAAAAAATCTGAAGCACCAGAAACCAGTGGCAGCGCACTCCCCAAGACATCCAACACAAGAGATTAGGGGAGGCCAGCGATTCACTGGACTTCTGCCATCATACTTCGAGATACCGTCCACATCGAAAACAACCGAGCCCGGAGGGCATTTTATCGGTGCGGTCTCAAGCCCAACACAAGTCCAGTCCTCTTCCGCGACCTTCTGGCAATTAATCCCACAGTTAATAGCTTTCCATCTATGTTAATTCCTCCGTCTTCAACGTTTCTGGATGAGCGCTGTAGTGGGAACTGATACAATGTAGCCAACCAGCAGCAGCGGGAGCGGTTAGGAAATCCAGGACAGGCGGCTCCACTCGGATTGAACTGTCACAGTCCACGGAGCCCGGACTAAAGATGTGGAACTGGAGTAGCCACACTGAATGGACTGTGATTTAGTTGTTTGTTTTCTTTGAAGAATGTCCACCACCTAGCCACAATGGCATATGTGTTGTTGACTTACAGACAAATAGCTGGTGGTTAGGAGCAGGGCCGTAGCAAAGATTTTGGAAATAGTGAGGTCATGAGCCCCCTTACAACCCTTAAGCAAAATTTGACTAGACCCAAAAATATTTGTTTTGTTAGTTTATTATACATTTAAAACACAAACATAAGTGCATGATTTATTAAAAACAACAGCAACAACATCATAAACAGACTCAGTACTATGGCCCCCACTGGTCTAAACGATAGCTTTAGGTCTATTTTATAACAATGTTGGAATCTTAATATATGCAGTCATTGTATTCTCTCTGTTCTCTATGTACTTTGTTAGAGTTCTTGTCCCCCTACTTGCCTCTTGTGGCTATTTTGGAGTACACACCCCTTTTGGGAGTGTTCTGGTACACACCTGTGTTGAATAAGGCCATTGCCTTGACTGTTTTATTTATAAGCCCTTGTTGTCAACACTCGTATGCTGTGATGGAGACACTTCATGCTTCCAGGTAAATTGGACATTACCTTTGCAGCTACTTAAGTGGCATCTAATTTCACTCAACAGAATCTATTGCCAAACAAGGCGGGGATTTCTCAGAAAACAACAAGCCAGATTCCAACAGTAAGAACCTTCTAGATATGTCAGGATTCCCAGTACCATGAATAACCTTTCATGTTTAGCAGCTTCAAACACCATGAAGGCTTTAAGTCGCTGTCTCTCTCAGCACTAGTTTCCCAGGCAACAAGAATATGATAATGTTGCCTTTGACATGACAGAAGGAATCATTTCGCTAACAAACAGAGACAACAGGCACAGGGAGGGCTGGGGGAGAGGCAAGGGAGGGGGCTTGAATTAATGGACTCATTTTCACACAGAGGGAAAAGCAGCAGTAGCAGCTACTCACCCTCCTCCATCCATCCTTCATCTATTGCCTCCAATGCATTCCTGTTGGCAGGCACATTCATACATTCCCAAGGGAACAGGCAACCTCCACTGGAAAGCTAAATAACAGTCAGTGGCCAGTGGGGACTGGAGGAGGCAGATTTCTCACGATGACTGCCATTCAAGGCTTAGTTCCAAATCAAGGGTTCTTGCTGCTGAGCATCATACCAACTAAAACCTGAAATGAACAAGCTGTGTAGACACCATGTGTTTTCCATCAGTGAAAAAGGGCTGAACAGCCAGTCATGTGGAACCACAAAGGGCTGGTTTGATTTCTGTGATCGTCTTTCCATTACTCTATAAAAAACACTGTAAAACCTTGAAACTCATCTAAAAGAGACTTGTTATTTAGCACTTGTTTAAATCAAAGAGCTGTGTCAACTTACAGCATTGGAGTACATTCATAAATGGCAGTAACATAGACAGAGGAGAATAAAGTGATACTAATACAAGGATAAACAACATAATGGCACACAGTACTGCAGTATTACAGATATATCTCAGTGATTCAGTGAAACTGCATTTACTGTGCTTTTACTGTGACACAATTTATTTTCATTTTCCAGATCAATATGACACAAAGCCTAAGGAATAATTGCAGCAGTAGGAGTAGGGTTTTTGCCACTACATTACATCTAGTGGTCACTGTTATTTACCTGTGCTTTCCAACTGCCATGCTAGCAGTATATATTTAAAGATGGCAGTGTTGGTCGTTCAGTCTGTCAGGTTGCGGATCATTTCACCATGTTGGCCCTAAATAAGATGTCCCAATATTTGATGGATTGCCGTGAAGTACAGCCGTAGATAGTTATGAGAACATGAATCCTAGAGACTTTGGTGATCCACTGACATATCCTTTGGTATCACCATGGGGCTGGGATTATTGGTTTTGAGTATAATATTTCAACAACTATTAAATGGATTGCCATGAAACAGATATCCATGAGTTCCAGGGAATGAACCTTAATGACTCTGGTGATCCCCTGACATTTGCTGTAGTACCACCATTAGGTCGCTCTTGTCAATTTGATTTGTTATTTTGAGTGAAATGTATCAACCACTACTGGATAGATTGCAATAAAATTTGGTGTAGATATTCATTCCCCCTCAAGAATTTTAATAAATTTGGTGACCCCTTACCTTTTCATCTAGAGCCATTATCAGGTCCAAAAATCTAATTTGACCAATACTTTGGTTTATGATAACCTGTAAAGCTAATATTCCCATCAGCCTAAGTTGTACTGTAATTTCATTTTAGTGCTACTTAGCAAATGTTAGCAGACTCTTTGTTTTGCTGTTTGGTAAATGTCTTGAATGATTAATTGATTATTAAAACTATCTGTAAACTATGTTCTAGAAATGTCCCCAAATGCATTGCTTCACATTTTACAAGTGCAAAAATTGCCATTCATCTGCTCTGTAGCTATCAGCGATAATATCAAATGATGATGATTAGTAACTGTCCAAAATGTCAATTTAGTGCTCACTATGGAGTTAACCATTGAATGACTGTATTTCAAAAGAAATAGTGAGTGAATGAACCACATATCCCTAGTCTTGTTCCAGGAGATTTAGACAGACACGGAGAAGAGTTATGTTTGTGTCTTTACCCTGTAGCTTGATTGTCTGCTTATAGACATGCAAACACCAGAAAAGCCCCACTACCATTAGTGGTTAATGGATGGGAGTCATGATGCAGACAACAACATACATTAAGCTCAGGAAAAATCTTCTTGGTCATGAGATTGACCAAGAGCCAAGAATAAATCAACAAATAACAGTTATATCAAAGTAATATTGGATATACAATAATATTGGAGACATTATGATGAGGTGATTATTTTAAAAACAAACTAAGACAGATCTGATTCCCAGACTACACTTAGGCCACATATGACTTGAAAATTGCATGAAAAGGCAAACTTAAAAAAGCAGAAAAAACTGAGGATTCATAGGTAGTTAAAAATAAAATGTATTCATTTTGTCCTTTTATCATGAGCCATTAACCTCCTCTGACAAAAATGAGAACACACACACACACACACACACACACACACACACACACACACACACAGAGAGAGAGCTTTATGTTAAATATTATCTAAAATTGTATGAAACATCTTATTTGGGGCAAACTTGGGTTTTGGACTATTACTCAGAAATCACAATCTCAAGGTACTTGCCAAACGTACATTTGACTGTGCAAATCTAAAAACATATTTATTGCCAGCATAGTGAGTGCAAGTTTTTTCCTGTCTCTACAAATTTTATGTCGTTCTACAGTATTTCTCAAATTACATTTTAACCATTACAAGAATAAGTGTGTATTGTGAAAGCCTGTGGCAAACACAGTTTTGCATTTATTGTCTTTCATAAAGTAATATGCTGATATTTAATCCAGAATGATCATGTTATGTATCTGTTACAGTGCTAAGAAAACAGAAACCTGGAAAGGACTATTTTACATATAGAGGAGACTAAAGCTTAAAAATCACTCCTCAAAAATTCACCCCTCCTGACTAAAGAGGCCTTGAAGATAAACTATCAGCTGAACTGTTTTCAGTTTGGCATTGTGGGAACTCAAAAGCTCAGAGAAACAGTGAAGACGCCCTGGTGGGGCAGCTTTCTCTGGACAGGCATTCAAAACACAGGAGAATCTTTCATTTGGAGTTTCTAATTTTTAACCAGTGTCTCTATGGAAAAATTGACGTGGCCATAATTTTAAATATCCCCTGCTAAATTTGTGTTGTAACAGATACATCTCAAAAGGTCAAAAGGTCAGGGACTAAATTGATCACTTATCGGTAGATCTTTAGAAATGGCAGCGAGTGAAAGCTCATTTGAGATGGGAAATTCATTTTTAATTTAATTTATGCATCTGCTCTCCTTCTGAGGCCTCATAATCATTTTCTTGACAAGCCAGAAGCCTTTTGTGAAGTCAGCGTATTATTCTGCAGATTTACTGACACAAAACAATAATTCTGTAACACATTATAATACATCTTGGAATTGAAATGTAGTTTTTTTTGTATGAATCTGATACCAAGAAAATACTTATCGGTTCCTATGGGTGCAGTGGAAGAAATGGGCACCATCGGGAACAAGAGTAACAATTAAGCATTCCAGATGCCATAGCGTTGGTTCAACTTCTTGTTTTGTGCTCATATTTTGAAGTTATTTCCTGTTTTTTGTTCATTCATTAGAGGAAAGAAGAAATAAATTACATTCAAAGTGTGTTTGTACATTCAGGTGCACAGTATGAGGAAATCCCAAGTAGCCAACCAATTTACAGTATTATCGTTTAAAAAATTTCACAGACATGCGGCCTGAACTGCAGAGTAATGAAAATAATGTAATGTAAGAGGCTTTGGGAAAATCTCCCAGAACTCACATGAAGTCTTGACTATTATCCCTTTGTACTCCTCAACTACAGAAATTATGCAGACTGTAATATAAGGTGTTTACATGCCCACTTGTTTTTCTCCATTGAAGTACCATAGGAAGTAGGAAGTATTTTATTGGTACCTGATATATATAACAATATTACACTGTAAATTGAGGACGGTATTGTAAACTTATGTACTGTTGCCCATAATTCAAGGGAAAAGAGGTCATAGCTCTCTTTGGAACAGGGAACACACACAGACATCCACACCTCTGTGTGCTTTACTCACTTGCCAGATGGGGTTTACCCGTAAAATCCTGGTTTGCTTAGAAACTCTAAAGTCTAGTTTCTACTTCTAGGTATCCTATCAGGTAATTGTAGGCATGACCAGGAAATTTTATGCAACAAACCTCCCATGACTGTCAACAAACTGTATACACTATAAAACTAATAATTTGATATTTTAAGACATACACATACTTGTTTTATTACCAACAGTTGGATAATAAGATCGATACAACAGTCATTGCTGTACACTAAATATGCAGCCTCAGCAAACAGCCAATTAGCTTAGCTGGAAACTGTTAGCCTGGCTCTGCCAAAAAAATAACAAAATCTGCCTACCATTAAATATGAAATTCTAACCTACAGCCAGGGTTTACCTGTTTCTAGGCAGATTTACTTTTGGAGATTCATTGTTTCGAGCTAAGCTAAGCTAACTAGCTGCTGACATCCAGCTACATATTTATCTTACAGACATGAGACTGGTGCCGTGGCCTTCCCATCTAAATGATATTTCAATGCATTCAATTTGACTATCAAACTGACAGCACTGAGCCAATATTGATAATATCCTTTTCTAAATATTTCCTTTGTACATCCCCTTGGCTTGACAAGCAGTGTTCTGTTACACATTATGAGATGGATGAGCCACAAGCCGTTCCCATGTTGTATTGTTCCTCCACCTGCCACCACCTCTTCTAAAGTGCTCCAAAGCCTAATTCCTCTTTCAGGCCTGTGGGGATGGGGGGATGGGACCCTGCTGCCCTCAGTCCAATCAGTCTCTCAGCAAGCACACAAAGGTCCTGCTGCTTCTACAACTGGAAACTTGGCTTGATGGTGAGGAGGGCATGCTGTTGAACTGGAGTCAATTGCATTTCATTTCAATCAGGATATTCAGCTGGGTATCTTTTTCAACCCAAATTATGAATTAACACTACACGTTTGATGCCTTATTGAATATAAAAACTTAGCTAACTGGATAAAAGTTAAATGGTGACAGGCATTTTTGTTTGAGCTCTTACTACTGAAACAGGTGGCGCTCACGATTGGATGGCATCCTGCTTGTTATATTGCTTCATCTACTCCAATTAGTTTCCCTATCCACCAGCATCATTAACAGCAGGGTGGGTGGTTTGTGTGATGTGGCAAAAGAAGCCACAGGCTGATCAAGCATAGACACACCGCTGATAAGTTGGCCTGATTTAAAGCAAAAAATATGTCA